TCTCCCCTGTCTGAGCCTAATCCTTCTTGTTTGGAACCAAGTACCAGGGCTTCAAGGTCAAGAGTTCCGATTTGGGCCTTGCCAAGTGACTGGGGTGGTTCTCCCAGAACTGTGGGAGGCCTTCTGGACTGTGAAGAACACTGTGGTGAGTGCAGGCTTATTCCGAACCCTTTCGCGCTGGGTCCCCTACTGGGAGAGGGTACTTTTTCAGGATTCTGGTTCCCTTTCCAGGTTGTTTAATCAATCTCATACATAAGGACCCTGTTGAGTTCAGGAGGATCAATAAGCCTCATGTTACATCCGAGGAGATTGGAGCTCAGTCATCCATGGGCAGCCTCCAGGAAAAGCAGCAGAGCCCTAGGAGAGTAAAGGAACCCCTGAGTGGCTTAGCTTCATCCTGGGTGAGCTCTGGCTCTGAGTTCCAGGACCAGGATGAGAGGCAGGTCTTTTGAGAGTCCTCTAAGAGAAAGAGACAGCTATGGAGATGAGCCCTACTCTTCATAGCTCTTAAAGCTGAAAAGTTTATTTCCTATGTCACATATGACCAAAGGAAGCACAGGTCTCTTTTCAAGTCTGTGGTCAGGGTCTAAGAACCCTGGGGGTCCTGTTCCCATTTGGGATGAGCAAGCATAGTAGTTTTCTGTAGATGGGACCTGTACCCTTCCCCCATGATCTAGTTCATTTTGTCCCTTCCTGGGTCCTCCTTTGGTCCCTCTAGCCTCTGCAGTCTCACTACAGAGGGATGGAGTCTACTACAGTAGGGATGGAGTTTGACATTGGGGACAGTATATTGGCAAGACTGGCTCCTATAAAATTCCTTAACCTGGGAACATCTTTTCTTTCTCTTCCCAAAGCAAACTCAGGATGACATCACAAGCGTCCGGCTGTTGAAGCCACAGGTTCTGCAGAATGTCTCGGTAATCAGACTGGAAGGGGATAAATCTCTAAGAGGGGTCTATGGCAGTCCTTTCCTTCTGCTTTGCTAGGACCCTACACATGGACATGAGGCAAAGTGGTTTCAGTTTGGGGTTATTTCTCTGTGAGTATGGGGTGGTGGTGGAAATTGAAGTCTATAAATATCATTTTCCACTCAGTCTGACACTTGCCGGCCATCTTTCTTTCGCTTCTGTAAACACAGTGAGCATCTACCAAAGTGAGCCCGCCTTTCACCTCTATCCTTTTCTCTTCCGTGTTACTATCCCCTTACTATCTGTCTAGACAGTCTGTGAGCATGAACAGACTGATCCCTCCCAGGTGCCAAGTTTCAGGAGCAGAAAGAGCCAGGCAGCGTTTGCTGTGTTCAGGGTACCAGGTTTCTTATTCTTCTTCCAGTAAATTTCCTCCTAACTCTCAACTATGAAGTCAAAGTTCAAATGCTTTTCAGGATCCATCATATTAATGAGGCCGTATAGTAGAGAAGAAAGGGACTATCACCTGGGTGGTGAGCTAGGAGTCCTGGGAGTTAGCCTAATTGCCTGAGTTACTTAGGGGTGGGTAACTTTTTTTCTGGGGCCTGGATTCCTGCTGTGAATCACAAGCTGTTCCTCAAGACTCCTGCCATCTCTTCTGATCTATCCAGTACCACCATCATTTCCAAGGAGACCCTGTCGTGTTCATTTTTACCTTGGGTGGTACATTGACAAAGGCTTCAGTGGTTTGCTTCTTCCCCAGGATGCTGAGAGCTGTGACCTTGCCCACAGACTGCTGAAGTTCTACTTGAACACTGTTTTCAAAAACTACCACAGCAAAATAGCCAAGTTCAAGGTCTTGAACTCATTCTCCACTCTGGCCAACAACTTTATGGTCATCACGTCAAAACTGCAGGCTAGTGTGAGTCGATTGTGGCCGGAGGCTGGGGAGTGAGTGCTTGAGAACCTGCCCTCCATTTATCTAGTCCTGGCTTCTTTTCCCAACAAAGAGTAATGGGGAACATGGGAAAAGGCTATATAGGTTCAGGTCTGTGTCTATCCTGATCAGATAAGGAACCCTTTCGAGGTACTCTGGGCTTCAGTTTTGTCATCTATATAAAATGGGGGTGACATTTCTACCTGTAGAGGTTGTGAGGAAAGATAACAGTCCTGACATATGCTGGGAGTCTGGCTCTGGCTGACTCTGAGGTGTAGGACTCTGATCAGTCCTTGCAGGATTGGAGAACCCTTCCCTGTATCACCAGGAAGAGCAGGAGAGGCTTCCACTCTGATCTAACTTTAGGAATTTTTTTTTTCTGGTAAGCAGAAGGACAATGCCATGCTTCCCATTAGTAAGAGTGCACACCGGCGGTTTTTGCTGTTCCACAGAGCATTCAAACAGGTAAGGCCAAGAGCTGGGAGCTTCGTACCCAACAGAAGCAGACAGAGGAGTACCCTAGAGACTTAATGCAGAACCGAATGTAGGTGCCTCCTTCAGGTTTGTCCCAGATCTACCTGGCCTGGGAGAATAATAATAAGCATCTGCTTTGCATACATCAATGTAGCCTTTTTTTTTAACTGTTAGTTTTCAAGGGGGAAATGCTATTATATTTCCTTACAAGATAATTTCATGATTGAAGAATTTCCCTAAGAGAAAAGTAGGTCCCTGATGTCAGAATTGAGAAAGAAGTTTGATAACTCACCTTCAAACAGATCAGCAACATTTCTACAATGTTCAAGTGGTCTTGTTTATGAAAAAGATATAGAAAATTTTATTATACCTCTCTAAATTAACACACCAAAGAAAACTCAAACTTAAACCCTAGTACCCTCACCCTCAAAGAAAACATCCTTGATTTTGAGCACTTGATAGAGGAGCAGATGTAGCAGTCTACAAATACATGGTGGAGTATAAACTTGAGCTCACGTCAGCACAGTGAATTCCCCACATCTTTCCTAGGTTGCATCCAATATTCTTATATTCTGGGTACCATGTTCTTCTTCAGCCCTTTACCTACCACTTAGTAGCCTCTTTGTCCTCACCCTGGAGACCAATTCACATAGTTGAGGTACAAGCGTTGGGTGGATCCATTTATCAGAGGCCATGCCACAGGTGATTCAGTTAATTTGGAGTCAGGTCTATATGAGGCAGGCCGTGTTGGAAGGAAACTGTTCTCATTGTTAACATAACCTGACCCCCAACTCTCCATTTGCTGCAGTTGGATACAGAAGTGGCTTTGGCGAAGGCCTTTGGGGAAGTGGACATTCTGCTGACCTGGATGCAGACATTCTACCAGCTCTGACTGCTAATCCGGATAACTTCCTCTGTTCTCCATGCCATATCAAGGCGTTGTTTATAGCCTGCTGTCCTCAGGGCACTTCAGACCCTTGGCCATGGAGCCCGTTGTTGGCTCAGGCCTCTCCTCAGACCTCACTCTTCAGTCCAAGCATCAGCCATGGATGACACCTTTGGAAGCTCCGACTGATCCACAAGTAGATTTGCATATTTATTACAGCCCTATTTATTGTTACTGTTTTAGTGGAAACTATTTATTTGTGAGACCGGAAGTTCCATGAAAACATCAGAATTCAGTGCCCCAGGCTTGTACCTTACTTCCTGTGATCTGGCTCAGCATGGGGGCAGTGGATGGTTGCTCAGTAAATATTTAATATGGACTGATTTTTAATTTTTTTCTCTGTCTTGGATTATTTGGGAAATATGATGGGATATGAATCTAAACATTAGTGCATGGAAAACATGAGGAACAGAGTGCCGGACTGGAAACCAAGGGCACTGATTTGAGATTTTACTTGTCTTTATGTGTGGGGGTGTTTTGCCTCATCTCTGTGCACTGCATGCATGACATGCAGTATCCTTGGAGGAGGCATGAGAATGTCAGGTCCCCTGAGAATAGAGTTAGAGGCAATTGTGAGCTGCCATGTAGGTGCTGAGGATCAAACCCAGGTCTTCTGGAAGAGCAGCCAGTGCTCTTTACCTCTGAGGTGTTACTCCTGCAAAGGATGCTGGTTTGAAGAATAAATGATGAAAGCTACCATCTGGGCTAAAACAAAGATTCATACTTGACATTCCACCTTATCCCTGAATACCCATCCACCCCTCTACCCTGTTTCTCCAGGTACCCCTCTTTTCTTAAGATACCATTCTCTCCTTATCTGTTTAATATGGCGTGTCAGGCAGATGGTGACATTGTACCTGGATGCACGGTCAACCTGGGATGATAGTCCCTGCTAAGAAAGCAACTCAGGTAGCCACTCTATTCTATTTCTGGAAAAGTGTCTAGAGAACTTCTGTTGTTTATCTGGGAAAGGCCTTCTTTTCAAAGGCAAGAGCTGGAATTCTCTTGCCTCAAGCTTGGGTTGAACTTTGCAGCTGGTGTCAATTCAAGAGCTGTGACTACACTTTGTTCTAAACTTCAGATAAGAAACGTGTGCGGAGGTGGGGTATTTCTTCCAGGCCAGAAGTGCTAGTGCCGCTCCTCTGACCTTTTGGGATCCCCAGGGTGCTTTTCTTCCATGTCTTGCTATGTGTTGTCTGATATTGGCAAGAGAGGGGTGATAGTTTGGGATAGCTAAAATAGCTCCAAGTTAAGGTACTAAGATATAGAAGAAGATAAGGAGACTGCAAAGATTTTCTAAAAGCTGAGATATGCTAGAGTCAGGTTATCTGTACCAAGTGATAGGAGATTAGAGGGAAGAGGATTCATGTGTGTGTGTGTGTGTGTGTGTGTGTGTGTGTGTGTATCACCAACACTAACAAAAGCTTAGTTCTAAAAATTAAGAATAAGTCATCATATCAAGTAAGCTACCCTTTGCCATGAGACTCAGGAAAGACAGAAACTCATTACCCCCTTTGGATCAGGGCCTGGAAGTGTTGGCTATACTTATTGTCTAGCCTGATATCACATGAACTAGGGTTAAGTCAGCAAAGACCATGTGACCAAAGACAGTGATGAACCACCTTGCAGGTCCCATCAGCTGTTAGATGGTACAGAAAGGACAGCTGGCATCATGACAAATGAATGCTCTGCCTGTCGCATTCAGAATGTTCCCAATGAACGCAGGGGGCTTCAATGGGGTAAAAAAATTAGCTTGTAATTGATCATTCTCAAGGCATTCAGATAGTCAGGTGAGAGTCGAGTTAGGGTATGGGACAGAGGAGGTGACAAAGATCTTATAAGCAAAAAGTGCATCAGCAAACAAGCAGGACTCATTGGCATGAAGGTCTAGGTCCTGGGAGGTAGCTAGGGAGATGAGGTGGGCCAAGAATATTGATGTAATCGTCTGAGTCAGGGTCTTCCACGTTGACAGCAGGCTGGTGGCACAAACTCGTGTAGTCACAACTCATCTTCAGAGGTGGGGTCTGGGGCCAACAAGTTTCAAGTACCTGGGAACAACCAAAGGAGTGTCACTAGCTCTGGCTGGGTGATTGACTCATCCCTTGAGGTGGATTTACACTGCAGGAAATGAAGGAGCAGGGACAGAGTTGCTGAGCTCCAGAGCGCAAAGGTGCGGGATTGGCTGAGCGCCACTAAGTGGGCCAGTCCTGGGGCTTCTCAGGGTGCAGTCCCACTCCAAATAACTGGAAACCACTTCATTCTATTGTGGGCAGGACACTTTGCATGGGGTTCAGATTGAAATCAAAGGGCTGAGCAGTGTGAAGGAGGCCCACCTGCAGAAGTCTCCCCTTGGGGATAAAGGGATATGACTTGTTCGGGAAATATGCATCTTCTCAGGCAACCAGTCAGAGGTAGGGTGAATCACTTCTTGTACCTCTGCAAGGACTTGGAGAGGCCATGACATGGTACAAGAACACATTCCAGCAAAGGGCTGGGTATCAGAGGAAGACTGCAGACCACGTGGGCATGATGGTGGTTCTCTTCTCCAGTTCTCAGAAGACCAGGCTATGTCAACACTAACATGGCACAAGTACTGCAATTCTCACAGAAGAATGCCACCACAGAGACGTCAATCAGTCATCTAAACAAAAGTTCTAAGAACTAGAAGGGCAGTCCTCTGAATGCAGGAAGCATCTGTTGTAAGGGACATCTACATTTTATATTTTACCAATGAGAGAAACAGCAGAAGGTTGCTTCAAAAAACACATCTCCCACTGCATGTCAACTTATTTGGTTTAAAAAAATAAAAATATTCACTATGATATTCACTATGAAGAGTGAAATAAGCCATTGAGCATACATACTTTGTATATTTGATACACACATATAATATATGATATATGATATATGATATATGATATATGATATATGATATATGATATATGATATATGATATATGATATATGATATATAATATATAATATATATATATCCATCCCTTATTGAGAGAATGATACAGGGTTAGCTTTCAGCAGGAGGCAGTCCATAAGAGGTTCTGTGAGCTTAGGGCAGAGCCACAATAAAAGGCAGGCTTTTGGGTCGAACATTCAGAAGCCCAAGCTTTGAAGACTGGTTGTGTGTGAGAGAGAGAAGGGGGAAGGGGAATACATTCAAACGGCTGGAGGTGACTACAGAGCTAGGTAATATTCTTCCCCTTTTAGCCAGATACACGAACATTTAATCAATATATTTCCAGCCAGGCATGACATTCATATCCTCCCTTGAAGGCAGACATGACTTCATGGCAGCTAATGGGAGGCAAGTGTTAGTGAGATATGAAAATTCAGGGTCATGATCCTAAGGAAGCCATCATCCTGTGGGTAGAAATAAGAACACTTGGTTCTGGGGGCTAAGTACTAACCATGGACCAGGAAAGTTGGCTGGAGTTATTGGAACAAAATGTCCCTGGATGACCTCATGGATTAATCTTCCTGTCCCTCTGGTTTGAACCCTGAGGGTTTTGGGGTCTGTTGTATTTAATTAATTTATACTAATCAATACACACACACTTGGTGCCCTTATTAATATTTTTCTGACTACAAAACCCAATGTTTTAGTCTTTGAGAATGCTCAAAGAAGGTTCCCTTAATTTGAGGAAACAAAATGACACCTGCTGTGTTGAATGTCTACATCTCTGCCCAGGCACTTTAGATAAAGCCTAGCGGTCACACTTCTATCACTTCCTCTCGTTTTTTTTAAAAGAGATGTCTGAAATGCCTCCCTCACAGAGGTAAAACTGTCTCAGTAGCTTCCACCCTATCTAGCCTTTCTAGAAACCTAGCGTCCTTTTACACCATAGTCACTGCAATGGTACCTTCCCTACTAGACTGAAGATATCCAGCATCCATTTATCCAAAAAGAAATGCTTGACCAGGTAACTAAGATATCTACAGATATCGCAGGGGCCAGCCTTCCAGAGGGCTTCAACCCAGGGACTGGATACAACCGGTATCCAGTCAGCGTGGGCTAGGGAGGGCGGAGCTTACCTGCGGCAGGGCGGGGGACGCTGTGGCTGCGGCGTGGAGGAGTGGAGCATCCGCTGGACCTATGAGACAGAAGAAAGCGGTGAGGGCCCGGCCTTCCCTCGCCTGGTCAACCACCTGTCCCCGGTTCCCTGCTGGTCTCCACGCCTCCCTGGAGTGTGTGCTCACCCACGCTGTCGGGTCCCCGTGCGCGCCGGGGGCAGGCGCTGTAGATATTGTTCTGCGAGCGCGGCCTCTGTGGGGCATCGCGGCGCTGTGAGGGGTTCGGGCGGGAAGCCCCCCGGCCTCGCATCCTCATCGCCCGTCGGCCCGCTCGTCTGGAGAAGGCTTCAGGAGGTCACCAGGAAAAAGAGAAGGGCATGACATCAAACACAAGTGGCCACCTGCCTCTACTTCCCCAGACTGAGGGCTACACACCTCTATGATGCCTGACAGGGTGCAGAGCGCAGAGCAAGGGCAAAGTACTTTTAGACTCCACTCCCACCCCAGCTCCCTGGAAATCCAAGCTGGATCTGAATGCTCTGGGCTCTTGTACCTCAGGTCTCCCAACCAAAGCCCAGAGCCTCAAGTGGCTCACCTCTCCTCCTTTGAACCGCTCTTTTTACCACTAGTCCCAAAAGAACCAGCAAGAGAAAGCCCAGGAAGGTTGGAATCAGGATGTGAAATTCTGGGATGGGGATGTGAAGCCCTCGGTCTTCTCTCCCATACTGTGGGCCGTGGTGGAGTGTCCTTGGCCGGGAAAAGAGAGAGAGGGAGGGAGGGAGGGAGAAAGAGAGAGAGAGAACTTAAACGAGGAAAGGAAATTTAAAGACTCACCCTTGAATGGCCACCTTTCTTTGGAGATGACTTAGAGTTGACCCATTGTTAACAGAATTTCCTCCATCACCCCCAAAGAGATTTGTTTATGGGGTCAGGAGTCTTTGGTTCAAATTCAAGTTCCTCATTTTATTGGTTTTGTGGTCTTGAGCGAGTTTTAATTTCCCTGAACCTTATTTCCTTATAAGTAGGCATCATAAGAACTGTACAAAACTGTACCGACCAAAACTAAGGGAGGTGAAAAGAATTGAAGGCAGTTGGTCTGTAGCAGGATCTGATACGGCTGCTAGTCCCACAGTTAGAAACCTCGGCATAGGAAGACTTTCATTAACCAAACCTGGACATTCCGTGTCTTTATCACAGTTGGCATTAAAGAAATGTTTATTACATAGATTTCTGATATAGGAACTAAGAGTTCTGTTTTCATTGAAACCATGTAGATTTTATTCCCTCAGTTCCCTCACTTACAGGATCCAAATGTTTCTGAGAGCCTTTTTTCTCACTAACCAGTTTGTATTTGCTCAGGCAAATACTTGTGGGTTTTCATAAACATTTGCTTTAATGCTGCCCCCTAGTGGTTCATTGAGGTCCGATATTTAGAACAATGCTAAGCAATAGACACATTTGTCACATAGTGTTAGCAGCATTAAGTAGGAAAAGATAAAAATGAGAGTAACTTTAGTGCTTATTAATTAGTAAATACTTTTAATTACTTGAAATGAATTAAAAACTTTTATCATTTAGTTATACATTACAACAGACCTGAAAGAATCTGTATGATTGAAAGACTTGAGTCTTTCTGTAAGATCAGAACTAGGGAGTTGCAAAGAATACAACATTAGAAAACTTTGCTAATTAAGGTCGAAGTCCATCATGACTGGATAGCCTCTGGGCCCAGCGCAATACGAAAGACTCCCTTTATTAGTGGGACCCACTGACCTTATCTGGGGAATTCTAAGCCCCACATGGGCTTCTACCTGAGGAATGTCTCAGAGCCTCAATTAGTGTGCATCAGTTTTCTTTCTTCTGATAAAACTTGTTCAGCCAGAACCTGAGATTCCTAAAATACTTCCCCATGCTAATGAGGCATTCCAGGTACCCTAAGCCCATAGCCAGTGACTTTTGCCCATCCTGGATGTTCCTACTCTCAGTACCCCAAAACTTTATAAGCCTTGAATCACCCTAAGTAAAATTGATCTGCCTCTTCATAGCTGGTCTCAGAGTGGTTAGACACTGTATGTACTCACAGGGCTTCTGAAACCACTCCCCTCTTGACACCTCTGCTCCCACTGCCCTTGTGGACCGAATTGGCTGATGTCCATGAGGGCAGGGAGAACCACAACAACAAAGCATATTCTTTGTTGATAGGACTAATGCATTTATATAGCACACTCAATAGCAGAGCATTTCTCGGTGGATTTCTGGAGACAAAGCTGAGAAGGGTGCAGGATGACTTCAGGGCTCTTAGGTGCACAGGCACTAAACATAGAAGCCTTTCTTACCCTTGCCCATGAAGTCTGGTGTGGTGGCTGTAGCTGGCCTCCAGGGGCCTGATTGCTTGCTGAGTAGAGGTCTTTGAGGCTGTGGTAGCTGGTAGGGGCGCTGGGGACTTGGTAGCTGTTACAGAAAATGCTCTGTAAACTCTGGGATGGCGGGTTACTGAAGCGATGCTGGAGGGCTGGTGAACCAGAGGGACCTCAGTCTTTGGAGTTGGTGTGGTTACTTCAAGAGAGAGAAGGGAAAGATTATATTAGTGGTAGATAACGCTGTGTTCTCCACTCTCCAGGAGGAGTGGGTCTCCTCTTCCACCCTCAAATATTTCTCCCCTTTTCCCCGTACATACCACCTCTGTTTTTGCAGTCCTTGTGGCCAAAAATGCCTTTATAGCATGCCATCTACACGGAAAACTTTCATTCATGTATGCTTTAAATATTTTCTCCAGGAAGCCTTTCCTGACCTCACAGGAAGAAGCACTTTCTGTCTTCTGAACATACTTTTTTTTTGTGCTCATATATTCTCCCCGAGTTATCCCAGTCAGTCATACTCATGGATCTATGATCTGCCCAGTTACACCGTTTCTTTTGACCCCAGCAGGGTCTCCTAGTGCAACAATGTTTATTAAAGTCTGGAACTCCTCTGGTATATGTTAAGATACTTGGAAATGTTAGTTTGATAGTCATCTTTTAATTGCCAAATAGAGTTGTTAAAACCACTAATTTCCTGCAGGTAGAAGACATCCCTGCAGGTAGCAGGAAGCATAATGACCTCCAGCTGGCAAATCTCTGCCCAGTCTTGGTTTCTAGTCATTCAAAAAGGACCTAGGGTTTGTGAATTGGTCACTTTGTTACTTGTATGCCACCTGGTGGTGGTATGTGACTCCTGCAACTAGGGCTTGGCTTCTTAGCTGTCAGATGAAGGTCCTTTCCAAGGACGAAGCATGGGAAAGTCACTTCTGCTTTGCTAACCACTTTATGAATTGAACGAAACAAGTCTCCCTCTTTTTCCGCTCTTGACTCAATGGACTGACCTTTGGATATGATTCCAGAAGAGCTGGCATGTTCACCCATATGGAGCCACGGAATCTGATGCTGCAGAAATCTGAACAACCGTCTTGGTGGCTCAGATGTCGGTACATCTTCCCAGAATGGTTCTGGGTATTCTATTAGAGGCAAGAGGGATGCGTTGGTGATCATCAGGGAAGAGATGGGACTGGAAGTTCTAATAAGAGCTGCCTCAGCCAAGGTCATGAGAAGATGAGAATGGTCCACAGAGACAGCAAAAAAGGAACTGGGCATAGAGCCTCCCTGGTGTGCTGGCCTTTCCCTTCAGCATATCCAGCACTCCCTATAAAACCATTAGGCTGTTGGGATTATAAGTTGCTGAAGCAGTCATGCACGTGTTAGAATGTCATTGAATACATTTGGCTGAATCATTGTTTCTCAGTTTTATCTACCCAAGACCTCTCATGAGATAGGACATGTGTGGCTCCTCTGCTGGTTTCCTCAACCTCAAAACCTCTCTTCCGTCTAATGTCTAACTCTCCATTTAAGTCCTGGGTAGAATGGGCAACATACAACATCTATCTTTACTCTTTTCATCTCCTGTGGCTAGAAGGTTCTAGGCCATGGTGTCGGTCAACTGTGAAGTTAGGCTGTGTTATTCTGTGTTAATACTGGGCTGGCTAATATGGCAATAGTATGAGATGATTCTAGTTAGATGCTGGTCTCAGTTTTCTAAACACTTACCGTTATGGACATTCAGGGTGACTTTCTGGGTCTTGCCAAGGTCTGTGTTCATGCCCACACCACAGGCATAGATTCCATTGTCATTTTCTGTCAGCTGTGTCATCTCTACTAGGAATAGCTTCTTATCCAAGCATGGCTTCAGGGTGACTCGCCTTTCATATTCCTTCTTGACAAAGTTGTTGGACACCACAGTGGTGCATATTTCAGGGTTGGTCATCTGCCGGCACAGATACATCCTCACCCGTGTCTGAGGGAGTGGGCACTCGATGATAACAGATCCACCCCACTCGACATCCAGCTGTACTTCTGGGAGGACCTTCAGGGCCCCAGACACTGTGAGGAGAAGAAATTAATGCAGAAGAAGCCCTATTCTCAGATGTGGCTCTACTCCAGCCATATCTTCACCCCCACACATCTCTCCAAACCTAGTGCCAGCCCCAGAACACCTCCATTAACCCCCAGATCTAGTCATGTCCCTGTCATCAACCCAGCCTCAGTCCTACAGTGATTTCTGACTACTGACTTAAGCTCAGCTCCTTCAAGGTTTTCTGCTCACTCAGGCTTACTCTGTGCCCACCCCATGTCCTTAGCCTCAGCCTCATAATTAAACCTGAGACTGTTAGGACTTAGACATTACTATAATGCCTACACCAAAGAGAAATAGGATGCCAGGAATGGCCCCCAGTGGCACATAACCCCCAAGGGACTTAAGTCTGGGGGTGAGAAAAGTGACCCATTCTTACAGCACAGTTTCCTTCTGGGTTCTTTTTTCCCCTCAAATCTGTTCACCTACTCAATCCCCCTTTCAACTCTACTAAACCATTCAACAAGCACACATTTGATGCCTTTCATGAGTGCTCCTCTCTCATACAATAAGTCATGTGGTAAATTATACCAACAGATAGCTACTACAGTACAATGTAATAGATTCCTTGAGAGATAGATAGCTCAGAACTCTCTGAAAGCAGCAAGCAGGAGTACCTGACTCAGGCTACTTAGGAGATGGTGTCCTGGGAGGAAGGCTTTTGAAAGAAGTGTTGTCCAGCGCTCTACCCTGAATAATGGGTATGGAGGCAAACTGAGAAGGTGATACTGGTCACTATGTGGAGAACTCATGGAAGGAAAAGCAGGGTGTGCACGAGTGTGAATATACATGTATGGGTATGGTATGACATATATATGTCTGGGAGAGAAATAGATTAGGGAAGAGTGGAAGTTGTAGGTCACAAGTTCCTGACATCAAAAAGCAAGAAAAGGAAAGTATAGCATAAACCAACCCACTACGGCAGAGGGTAAAGCCACAGACAGCAATCTAAGTGGGTCCCAGCAAGTGCCTCCATATACTGAGAAGAGGGATGTCTTAGTTGCTTTTCTATTGCTGTGACAAAACACTATATGACCAAGACAACTTATAAAAAATAGCATTTAATTTGGGGCTCATGGTTTCAGAGGGTTAGAGTTCATGACCACTGTGGTGAGAGGCATGGCACCAGGCAGGCAAGTGTAGTGTTGAAGTAGTGGCTAAGAACCTATATCTTGATCCACAAGTAAAAGGGAGAGAGAGACAGACAGAGACAGAGAGACACAGAGAGACAGAGAAAGAACTGGAGTGATGTGGGGCTTTAAAACCTTAAAACCCACTCTCAGTGACACATCTACTTCAACAAGGCCACACCTCTTAATCCTTCCCAAGCAGTTCCATCAAGTGGGAGGCAAGCATTCAAACATATGAATGAGTGGGAGCCATTCTCATTCAAACCATCACAAGAATGATAATACAAAGTGTGTGTTTATAGTGTAAATCATGTGTGTGTTTAGGTGGGCCTGGAGGGCTAAGGTGAAGATGAAAAGGACCTTTCAGGTAACAAGAACAGATTGTATCAAGATGGGGATGTGAGAGAGAATGAGGCAGGGAAATCTACTGGTTTACCGATGTTTATTTATAAATGGTAAATTCTGAATAGCTTCAATGAGCTCAATCATATGAGAGTTAAAAATTAGAATATCAGTGGGCTTAGGGTGTCTAGATTAGGATATTTCTGGTAGAGGGGAGTATTGAAGGGTAGAGAGGTAGAAAAAATGGGCTAGAGATGGGGGCTAGGCGAGGGTACAGAGGAGCTGGAAAAATATACACAGGAAATGTTAAGATCTCAAAGGGAAGCTATGTTAACAAGCTTGAGGGGGAAGAGGCAGAGAGGGCTCAACCAGAAGTCCATGATCTGCCAAGGAACCTTGCATACGATACACAAAGCTCATTACTGCTGAAAACTGTTGCCAACAGAACTCATGAGATGTTTTCATGCCTAGACTCAGGCAACGGAAAGGTAACACATTCACAAAGTTCCAGCCAGCCAAGGCTGAAGACCTGATCCAGAGGTTGAGGGAATCTCAAAAATGACCAGATTCCAGGACAAACTAACTAGCTGTCTTTAGTTTATAGTAGCATCTATGACAGATTGGAAGAACAATGGGATGGGATGAGATTTCCAAGACAGAGAGAGGTCAATAGGATTCGTAGTTTAGAAGTTTGAAATGCTGGGTCTATGTAGGAGGAGCTAATGTGGGAGGAGTAAGGAGGGGAAGAGGAGGAGTTTGAAGAGGAAGAGAAAAAAGGAAGAGGAGGAGCTAGAGAGGGCAGAGATGTAGGAGGATGGAGAACCACGCAGGTATGGAGAGCAGTTGTGGTGAACAACTTATAATTAGGTTAGCTAATTGGGGTACAACTAACTCTCTTTGTATGGGCATCTTGTTATTAATCATTACCAAACATATAAAGCCTTTGATTAATCTATAAGAATTAGAGTCTCATTCTCTTACTGGGCCCGCGTGGGTAGCAGAATGGTCTGGGCAATGCCCAGCCTTAAGGAGAGAGCATGGATATTGGCAGAGCCATCTCTCACTCTGGCATCTAGTGGGTGGCAGGGCTGGTGTTTCTGGCGGGCTGGTTCTAGCTGCTGCATGCACGTGGCCTTTGGCCGAGAAACATGGTGGCTGAGCTAGGCAGAGCCACTGCAGCTTAGATAGTTGGATGAACCAGAGGACGGTTTTAATTAATTACCACAACAGGTCTACATCAGTCCCTGGGGGCTTGCTGATGCCTATGAAATTGTCTTGTCCTTGGGCATGGTGGCTCCTCTGTCTAGGCTGATGTAGGGACCTGCTTTTTTTTTTTTTTTTTTGGTTTTTCGAGACAGGGTTTCTCTGTGTAGCCCTGGCTGTCCTGGAACTCACTCTGTAGACCAGGCTGGCCTCAAACTCAGAAATCAGCCTGCCTCTGCCTCCCAAGTGCTGGGATTAAAGGCATGTGCCACCACTGCCGGGCTGGACCTGCTTTTTAAAGACACACCCCAGATGTAATTCTTGGCCATTTAAAAGTGATTCTTGGGAGAAAAGGGGAGGTGGAGAGAAGGTATCTAAAGGAACTCACCAATTTGATACTAATGTTGCAAAGGCAATTAAGTGATCTCTAGCTTATAAACTCTAATTTGGTGACTGAATTGTAGAAATAGTAGAAAAGAGGAAGGATGTATTTTGAAAAGTCACTGTTGATAGATATATAGTGGAAACACGTGTTTGAGATGTTAACGTCCTATAGCCTTTTCACAGTGCAAAAGGAGAGAGATAAGGAAGGGCCTTGAGGGCTAAGGCCGTACTGGAGATTTTCTAGGTGGGAGTAGGATTAAGCCCAATCTGAAATAGAATGCTTGAAAAAATGGGGGAGGGAACACCTGGCTTCAGATTTGAACGTTGATAAAGAGCTATAGTTTCTGAGCGTGTGTTTGTGGGACAGACATTCTCCTTAACTGAACCTGCAGCTCACTCATTCACCAGCAATCCTGGGCCCTCTCTTCTCCCCACCTTCCCAGCTCTGGGCTCATTAGGTGTGTGTCACCGAATCTAGCTTTTTATGTGGATGCTGTGGCTCTCAACTCAGGTTCTCATGCTTTCGTGGCAAGCATTTTTACCTACCTACCCAGCCCCTGACTGTAAAACTTTAAATTCCTTTTAAAAGGACAAGAGGGCTGGTGAGATGGCTTAGCAGGTAAAGGCACTTGCTAACAATCCTGGTAATTTCGGTTTGAGTCCCAGTGCCCACATGATGGAGAAAACGTCTCCTTAAGATTGAAGGACAACTCTTTTGGGTTGTCCTCTGACCTTTGTATGCATGCTGTGATACATGTCCCCAAATAAACAAACTAACAGACAACAAACAAACAAATAATGTAAAACTATTTAAAAGCACGAGAACATTCCACTTAGCAACCTGTTTCCATCCACAGTAACCTGCACGTGGACAGGCCTGGCACCTGCTGTTGGTTCTGCTCCAGGTAAGGATCCCAATTCTTTTCATAGGGCTGAAAGCCAAGTCTGGCCTTCTTAAGTTTTAGAACGTCTGTCTGCAATGAGCCCCCTTTCTGCTGCACCATTGGTTTGCTGTTCTCTTCAGCCCCCCAGTAGCTCATGCACAAACTCTGACACTGGCACCTTTAAAACCCTCAGATGATGTTTGCATCTCCTCCAGTCTTTTCTATGTGCTTTCTCAAACGCCTCATACAATTTATATCCATTTCTACAATTTCTCTTTGATCAATTTCAATCAGAATTTTGTCTCTAAACGTCCGCCAAAACTGCTCTCATCTGGGTCAACACAGCTGTCCTGGTCTGGCAGTCTCATTTGTCGTCATCTGTGGAAGTATTTGACCCACCTGAGTTCTCCTTCCTAGGACCAGTTTTTTTGTGCACCACCTCAGTGCCATATGTTATAGCTGTACCTGTGGTGGCCCATCTCTTATTCACCTCTATTTCTCTCTTAATGCTGGGCTTACACAGAGCTTGGTACCTGACAGATTCTTTGTGTCTTCCCTCTCCCCCTACACTTGCTCATTTACGCTAGAATCTTTTACATACAGATGCTGATAGGTCAGATTTCAACTAAACACATGCTTGTTTCTAGTCTTGTTTTTACAGCTCCCAACTGGCTCTTGCCCTTGGACTCCATTGTATACTTAAGATAGTATCTAACAACATCGAGAAGAGAATTTCCCATCTCTCTAAACCTGCCTGTTCATAAGAGTTTTCTATTTTGGGAAATAAAACTATCATCCAAGTGCAGGAGACCATTTCATCCTCATGGCAATGAATCAAGATTAAATTGCATGAGGTACAGGGAGACGGCTCAATGGGTAAAACGGCTAGCTTGACAGTCCAAGTTCAATTCTTGGAACCCCTGTAAAGTGCCAGATAAGTGACTGTAATCCCCTCACTCTTATGGTAAGCTAGGAGGTAGAGAAAAGAGAATTACCTGGGAGTTCATAGGCCAACTTAAAGTATGTCACATAGCAGCAGAAACAGTGAGACTCGGCCTTAAGTAGGTAGAAGCTGTGTCACTTATCCTCTGATCCCCATACATTTTATTGTGTGCTGTGGTATGCACACAATAACAATTTTAAAAGAATAAACTTTCATTCTCTCTCTCTCTCTCTCTCTCTCTCTCTCTCTGTATTTGTGTGTATGTGTGCGTGCATATGTGTGTGTGTGTGTGTGTGTATTTACCAAGTCACAATATGTATATATATTCTTATTAGTAGTCTAGGTAAATTTGAAGCTCACATCCTATTGTACTGCCTTGGGTCATTAGGGACCTTCCCATAGGGCTCCATTCAGTATCATCTGGGCACTGGGGACAGGTCTACCCCAATATTTGTAGGCCCAAGGGTATTAATAAACAAAGGCCAGAGTATCATACATACAATTATTCAAAGATATTTTCAAGGAGTAGGGATGTGGGATATGGCTCAGTTGCTAGTGTGCACACACAGAAACCTGAGCTTGAGCTCAGGCCCGTGTATCCAGGTCTGGTGGCCCATGCCTTTAATTCTAGCTTTTGAGATAATCTGCAAGAGGATCAGGAAGTCAAGGCCTTCTTCATCTAAATAGCTCATGAGAGGCCAGCCCAGGATACAGGAGATCCTGTCTTAAGAAAACAAGATTAACAATAAACTATTAATTAGAGTATTTTGTATGTTCATATCATAATAAATCCACATATTCCTTCTCTGTTGCTTATGGCACATGTGATCCCTCACCAGGCAGGCTCCGTTTGATACCTGCAACTTTCCTCGGTGATGTGATTTTTCCCACTATTCTGGAACCTCCAGTATCCTGGAGTCTCCACTGCTTTACTTCCATACCTACACAGCTACCCTCTCAGGTTCTTTGTACAGAAAATCCAACCTTGCCACACTTTGCCTAGCCTCAGAGGCTGTTTAGAACCTTGGTGCTGGCCCTCATGACCCTTTACTCTTATATTTTGTACATCTGCAAAGGCAGCTGAGTGTGAACAGAGCCAAGTTCTATTATAAGCTCGAGATGTAGTGTGGTCCCCTTGGACCACAGCTAAAACAGGATCTATGTTTCCTTGAGGAGAGCCCTGAGAAAACACTTACTGAGGTAGCGATGTTGTAGCATCATGCCCTGAAGATTCTCTTTCTTTAATTCTCCTTTCAAAGGAAAGTTTGTCAAACGAGTTTTCATCACTACATTCTCTAGTTTGGGAGGTGGAATATTGTGCTCAAGACACTTTTCCTGTTGTGCCATTGCAAAGTCCTAGGCTTCTCCTTGTGCTGGCCAGTTTATGTCAATTTGATACAAACTAAAACCATCTAAGAGGAGAGAACCTAAGTTAAGAAAATGCCTCTATACGATTGAGTTATAGGCAAGCCTGTAGAGCATTTCCTCAATTAATGATTGGTGGGATAAGATCCAGTCCAGTGTGGGTGGTGTCATCCTTGGGTTGATGGTCCTGGGTTCTATAAGAAAGCAGGCTGAGCAAGCCATGAGGAGCAAGGCAGTAAGCAGTACCTCCATATAGCCTCTGCATCAGCTGCTGCCTCCAAGTTCTTTGATGATGAACAGTGATATGGAAGTAAAAGCAAAATAAACCTTTTCCTCCCCAAAGTGATTTTTGGTCATGACATTTCATTGCAGCAACAGAAACCCTCACCAAGACACTCCTTAATTGCACTACTTTCTTAAAGAATTTAAGCTGCTTTGTCTGGACCCGTTTGGTCTGTTCTATTTGTAGCTTTAGCTGAGTTCAAGCTCCTTTCTTTGCCAAGCAGCACACTTTCCACACACTTGTGTGCTCCCTCACTGTAAATCTGGGTAGACACTGTGAGCAGTAACCATGCCATGGCATCAATGCTATGGCACATTTACATTTCCTCTGTCAAACAACTTCAGGATCATTCAGCTTATGGAGATACAGTCAGAACACAGCCAGACTCTTTATAACATGAACAAATGACTCCTGCCCTAATTGCTGATAGAGTCTTGTTCTCCTGTGAGCAGTATTTTGTTGTCATTGTTGTTGTTCTGGTCCTTTGTGCTCTCACTAGCATGACCCAATTAACCTCTGCTTATAACATTCTTGAATTTCTCTAGCTCATCCACGTCTCAAGCTTCCTCCTGAAAATAGTTCTGAAGGCCTATAACTACGAGGTCAGATGTCTCCCAACAGTAACCTCACTTCTTGTTATCAATTTACTCTGTTCATTACTTTTCTCTCATTATTGCAACAAAATATCTGATGAGAAGAAACTTCAGTGAGGAAAGGTGTATTTGCATTCAGTTTGAGGGTATAGTCCAGTGGTTCTCAACTTATGAGTAACGACCCCTTCAGAGGACGAGGGTCACCTAAGGCTATCAGAAAACATAGATGTTTCCATTATGATTCATATCACGAGCAAACTTACAGTTACGAGGTAGCAATGAAAATAATTCTATGGTTGGGAGTCACCACAGTATGAGGAGCTGTATTAAAGGGCTTGCCGCCTTAGGAAGGCTGAGAACTGGTATAGACCATCTTGGCATGAAAACCAAGGTTGCAGGAGCATGAAGCTGCTTGATTATATCCAGGGTGGGCTGGTGGGGAAATCAACAAATGGAGGAAGGTGAACACAGTGCTCCACAGCCTTTCACTTTTTTCTCTTTCTTAAATGTTTTTTTTTAAAGATTTATTTATTTATTTTATTTATGAGTACACTGTCGCTGTCTTCCGACACACCAGAATAGGGCATCCAATCTCATTACGGATGGTTGTGAGCCACCATGTGGTTGCTGGGACTTGAACTCAGGACCTCTGGAAGAGCAGTCAGTGCTCTTAACCGCTGAGCCATCTCTCCAGCCCACTTTTTTCTCTTTCTAATCTGTTCATGACCTCAGCCCATAGGATAGTACAATCTACAGTCGAGGTGGATCTTCTGCCATTGATTAATTCTTTCCGGAAACGACCTCGCAATCACAGTCAGAAGTAAGCTTGACTAAAACCTCAGCATTTCTTGATCCATTTAAATCCTCACCAAAGCTTAATTATCACAAAGCAGGTATTATTGATAAACTAAAAAGCACACTGAGCCAAGATATGATATGACGGTGCCTGGAATTCAGAAGATGCTCGGGAATGCTATGAGAAGTAGGTAGGTTTGCTATGGACTGTGAAGAACACGGTAATGGTAAACAGGGAGGAATGGTGTTCCTACAGCAGAGACAGCCTGAGAAAGGGTGTAGTAACGGGAATCTGTAGCATTTGTTCAAAGAATTCTGTTTTTCTGGAAAAAGATCTAAGGGAGCACAATACATGCAGAATATAAGGGAGGAGAGTGTATTTTAGTTAGTAGATAATGGGAGCCATTGAATGACATAATCTTAGAGATGCTTAGGACAAATGGAATAGCTGGTTTGTATGGAGACCAGGGAAGTATATTAGGCAAGGCATTAGGCACATTGTATTCTAGATCTTGGTGATCATTCAAGCGGGGTGCCTGGTAGGTGGCTGTAAGCGGAGATAAGAAGTGTAGAGACTAGGTCAGGGAGTCTCCATTTGAAGTTGTAAGTTGCCAGAGGGAAGAAGAAAGATCTACAGGAGCAAATACCCACAAGAAGAGCGAACCTTGGAGACACACGTTTTAAGGTCTCAATAAGTGATTCTTTAAGATATGTGACAACTTCAACCCTTAAAAAACTAACAGCTGTCTAGGGTGGGAGTCTGGAAGGATGCTGCCTGTGTGGGGAGGGGCCAGCACCCACCTCACAGGTCTCTATCTGTCTGCTCTGTGCCCTGGCTGCAACTGCATCTCCCCAGAATCATTAGAGCCAGAGACGGCTGTCACCCGATTACCTCTGGCTAATTCAAACCTGGTAGTTAGTCTGGAGAGTTTCCTCAGAGCACTCACCTGGCAGGAAGTAAAGTAACCAAAGCGAAAGGTTCATGGTTCCTTGTGGCCGGATCCCATCCAAGAGGCCCTGGAGTGAGGTTGACACACACCAATCACCTGAGAGCCTTCTACAACTGGGTGCTTGAAAGTGATGCTGGCCCTCCTTGAGGGGCAAGGGCTTAAAATGAGGAAATGATAATCTGTCTTGTTTGCTGGCTGGTTTTTGTCTAAAAAGGAAAACACCAGCAAACCACAGCGGAAATCAAGAGTTGAGAAAAACACGGACTGCATAAAAAATGAGTGAGCAAGGTTCAAACTCACGCCTGGAGCGACTGCCAGGCCTGGGCCCCTCTTCTCAAAGGCACCTCCCAGGACTCATATGTATTGATTGGCTTCTGAGCTAGAGTCATTTGTTGTTTCTCCATCCTCAGGACAACACAATCTCATCACCAATTCTCTCTCAACAACAAAGCCTATGTGGACCAAAGCTTGACTTGAGAGTCACCCGTTAACTCCTCCGATGAGCACTTGTGAACACCTACTATTTGTAGTGGTATTGGCCATGGATTTTGTGTGATCCGCTGCTTCTCTCAAAAATGCTTCTCATTTATCTAGAAAACAAATGGAGGTGAGATGCCATGGCCTCTGGCACCCCACCGTGCACACTATCACTCTTGAGGTCTTAGCCACAGCTTGCCCAGGGCCTCAGTTAATCTTCAGGCCTCATTCTCCTACAGTGGTGTTCAAAAGGAGCACCCCTCTGGCAGAGGCACGAGCCACTGTCTAATAAGCACAAGGACAGTGCTAAGAGTCTGGTGTGACAAGTCACATAGCAACTCTGCCCGTAGGGTTGGCAGTCTGGTCGGGCCATTGTTTGAGACATTCAGTGGCAAGGGTGAGGTCTATTGATGGAGGAGAAGCTGAGAATCACTAAAACAGTTTCAGATTTAAGACAAAATACTTTGTCCAGGCTTGACACTTGTTGGCCTTGGGCAAGTTTCCCTGAGCCTCTGCTCTCACTGGTAATTTGGGGATGGCCACTGTCTTATCTGGTGCACAGCAGAAATCACTGATGTAGAAATGCTATAAATATAGAAAACATGTTTTAGCTTTATGACCTTTCAGATGTGCAAAGCTGTAACTTATCATAGGATTCCAGGCTTTCCTTGGGGCAGGGGTTCCAGTTACCAACAGCACCCCAGTCTAGGTTTCCCAGTCACTTTTGTCCACATTATTTTAGGCTCCTTGGTGGGTGGCTGCCTGCACACCACTCCCTACTCACGCCTACACACCAGATTGGTCACATGCTCTCCAAAACACAACACAACATTGTCCTCAGCCCTGGAGGTTGAATGTGAGTTCAGAGCAGGTGCAGAGGAAGAGGAAAGAGGAAATGTGTGGGTGTGGGCTGCCTTCCCTGTTCTGCCCAACTCTGCGCTTCTCTCTCCAGGTCTCTACTAGCTCAGAGCAATGGACATGTGACATCCTCCAGCTAACAAATAGGTCAAGAGGTCAGAGGGTAATCTCTGCCTTCTGGTTAGAGTGGCTGACTAAAGGCAGTTTCTGCTAGGATCAGTGTCTTACAGTTCCCCATGGAAAGAGCTCTTTCCAGTGGTCCACACCTGTCAGATAGCTAGCTGGGCTCTCTGTTTACTTGGTTAGATGGCTAGGATTTACTTGAAGTCCTGGGGATGGCTAGATGAAGGAAAGGAGAGAGAGAGAGAGAGAGAGAGAGAGAGAGAGAGAGAGAGAGAGAGATCGATTATGAGTGAATATGCTAAGTGTCACTGTGGGTGTGAGAGAGTGTAGATGTCAGTGTATTCTGAATGTGTAAGATCAGTGTCCTGTGGGAACGTGCAGCATACATATGCAAATGAGTGCTCTGTGGTGTGTAGGCATGTGACATGTGTTCTGTGATACATGGCATGCTTTGTGACATGTGAGTATATGATATGGCTGTGAGTGTTTATATGTAATTATTATGTGTATGTATTACGTATGTCTATGACGTTCAGGAACTGGCTGTGTGGCTGAGCCTGCCAGTCAGGGTTGAAAATATATGGATGAGAGGAGAGAATTTAACATGTATAGTCTTTATTCCTTTTTGAAAAAGCAGAGGGTAAAAGCAAGAATTAGTATGGGGGCAGGATGAGGGGTTGGCCATCTACAAACCCTTTGATCTACGATGATGACCTGCCTGCATGTTGCACTGTAACTAGCCAGTATCTGATTGGAATTACAGCCCACTTCATGAGATGGAACCTGTACCTGACACTGCTCTGGTAGGCAAGGGTTCGAGACTAGATAGGCCATGGTCCTAGGGGAAAAGCAACTATTATTGTTCTGCTAAAGGAGCACTGAAATAAAATGACTCCTAATGACTCCTAGTGACATTCTGCTGTGTATAGATCTTGCTTAGCCATTATCAGAGAAGCTTCTTCTTGCAGTTAATGTGAACTAATAGAGAGACCCACAGCTCACAGTGTACAGAGAGTGAGAGACCTTGGAACACTCAGAACTAAATGGGGTGTCTCCATCAAACTCTTCCCCTCAGGGCTCAGGGATCAAAGCAAAAGGGGAGGTGGGAAGATTGTACGAGTCAGAGGGGATGGGTGACTCCAAGGGAACGCTGACTTCAGACACAACAGGACTGATACACGTATGAACTCACCGAGGCTGTGGCTGCATCCACAGGGCCTGCACAGGTTCAAACCACATGGGGTCTCAGTGCTGAGAGGCAGAAATGGATACAAACTCCCATCCCTAACTAAGAAGACATCTCCAGATGTTCAACACTTGCGAATAAAAAATTAGTTTTTTTTTTTTCCAACAGTCTTTGGGTATACAAGCCAGCAGTAGATGGCCAACAGAAAATGAACCCGGTGGTATTTTTAAGTTGATTTTATTATTGTTGTTTGTTTGTTTGTTTTAATGTTTTGTTTCATTTTATTTTGTTTTGTCTCAAGTTACTTTGGACATTAAAAACAAACAAACAAAACTAGATAAACTAAATAAACAAACAAAAAAGCCTTTTAGTTACCTCTTGCTTATTGATTATGATTTCAGGTTTTGTGTTTTGTGTGGAGTGTGCACTCTCAGAGAGCACATGCGACCAGAGGGAGGTGCCTTCCTTGTTCATAGCTACACCCAGTCATCCCTCAGGCAGTGCTTGTTCAGGAAGATGCTGGGATGAGCCAGGATGCAGAGAAGCACTTTGGGACTTGAGGAAATGGAGACATCACTAGGGAGACTCCAAGGGCTTTCCTCCTCGCCTCCAACAGCTCATATCCTTCATGTGGCGTACACATAAGTAACTGAGAGCTTCTTGGCTTGAGACAGACTCCTAGGAGACCAGAAGAAGTAGCGCTTCGTGAACTCAGGTAAGAGACTTTCTCAGATGATCCTGGGGATAAGCCCTGTCCACACAATCATTTACCCAGATATATTGAGGGTCAATCATGCCCCCCCCCAATCCTTTTCCAGGACAAAGTCTCTTGGAGAAACAGGTATTTTTGTATCCAGTTGGTAACGGTAGCACAGCATTTAGGACAGTGGGTATCCAACAAACGCTAGTCTGATTGCTGAATTTATGATTGTGTTGATTCAAAAATTACAGCTCTTTTTTTTTTCCCCGAAACAGGGTTTCTCTGTATAGCCCTGGCTGTCCTGGAACTCACTCACTCTGTAGACCAGGCTGGCCTCGAACTCAGAAATCCGCCTGTCTCTGCCTCAGAGAGAGAGAGAGAGAGAGAGAGAGAGAGAGAGAGAGAGGGAGAGCTTATTCTGTAGCCATTTTGAGTAATCATGGTTACTTACTGTAAGTTCCATGTTCCAAACATGGAAGCAGTTTCATGAAGTTTTATTGTTTCACAGAACAAAGAAAGTACGTTTTAAAAATGACAATGGAAAGATTCTTAGGATTTTCTCTTACAGAGTCATAGCTAAAATAAGGATCTCGAAAAACCTGTTTGTTCACTTATCTTTGAAGAGGAGGTGGCAGTTTAAAAAATTCTTTAAAATCCTTAGAATGAACTCACGTATATACAAAATTGAAAGCACAGACATAAGTAGTTCTCTTAATCTTTGGAATAAAAAGTTCAATATCTCAAGAGAGGGAAGTTACCTAATAGGAAAATGTATCCTGGGGGCAGGAATAACCATCTCATAGCTAACTAATTACAACGTCAAACAGCAGGGACCCTGTTGTAGAAGAAGAATTGGGTCAAGGTGATAGCACCTTGACTAGAATTGTATGATTATGTATATTATTGTTATTAAAGTAGTTTAAAATTGTGGAAGTTTAAAAACTCATGTTATTTGTCCTGAAGAAAGATATAGAAACATTAGCTCTCTCTATTGGTCATAAATACATCTTTTGTCTTTTATAATTATTTGTTTCATGAAATTTTAGTTTTACTGGGAGCCAAAGGAAGCTGGGCCAGGTTAGCAAGACTAGTTTACATGAGCACTTACTTACAAGGCAATGTGGTGCTAAGTAAATTATGTCAAAACAAACAAACCAGAATCATGAACAGTTTATATGTACATATATAATATCATACATAAGATATATTTTGATAAATCAAGATTTTGAATATTATTGTTAATTGAGATTATATTTTCTATATCTTCATTGTAAAAGTAAAACACAAGAGAGATCTTCAATAAACAAATGTCTATTAATTTATATATGGTTTAGCTTTAATAAGAAACAGTTTTTTTAAAAAAGAAATAGTTTTATATTAAGAATATGTTAAAGAAATCATATGGATTTTATGTTATCCATTATATAAAGAGATAAAAATTAATAAGTATATATTTATAATTTGTTTTTTAAGGAAATCCTTATAAAAATCTATGACATTAAGTTTTATTTATTTATTTACTTGTTACTTGTTTGTTTGTTTGTTGTTTGAGACAGTGTTTCTCGGTGTAGCCCTGGCTGTCCTGAAACTCTCTCTGTAGACCAGGCTGGTCTTGAGTTCATCGATCCCCCTGCCTCTGCCTCCAGAGTGCCAGGATTAAATGTGTACGCTGCCACCGTCTGGCTATAGTAACTATTTTTATCTTCTCATTGAACTAGTTTGACTTGAGGCCAACCTTATTAGACCTCAGAATAGCTGAGGAAACTTTTCTATAGCTTTCATTTGATTGACAGGTTGACTCTGATCTTTT